ATTTTCCGAAAATTATTGGTGGTAAACTTCGGGAGAAAGTACTAAAAACTTTTGGATTTAATTTGGGAATAGAATACACACATCAATTTTTTGTCCATATTTCCCCTCCATTTCCCTTGAAGGCAACCCGCTTGACGCTTATGCGCTTCACGATTTTGTGCTGTAGCCTACCCTGCGATTATCGATCATGTGAAATTAGTATAATTATCTGGGTTGCGGTTAAGAACAATGATAAACAGGTACGAAGAAAGAGAAAAGAAGAAACGAAAGAAAAATATTAAGAAAAAGAAGAAAAGTAAGGCAAGGGGAGAAGGGAGGGATGTTGAAGAAGATCATGGAGGAGAAGAAAGAAAGAAAGAAAGAAACAAAGAAAGAAACAAAGAAAGAAACAAAGAAAGAAACAAAGAAAGAAACAAAAGAAAGAAAGAAACAAAAAAGAAAGAAAGCAAAAAAGAAAGAAAACAAAAAGAAAAAACAAAAAAAGAAAGAAACAAAAAAGAAAGAAACAAAAAAGAAAGAAACAAAAGAAGAAACAAAAGAAGAAACAAGAAAGAAAGAAAAAAGAAAGAGAAACAAAAAAGAAAGAAAGAAACAAAAAAGAAAGAAAGAAACAAAAAGAAAGAAAGAAAACAAAAAAGAAGACAAGAAACAAAAAAGAAGAAAGAAACAAAAAAGAAAGAAAGAAACAAAAAAGAAAGAAAGAAACAAAAAAGAAAGAAAGAAACAAAAAAGAAAGAAAGAAAGAAACAAGAAAGAAAGAAAGAAACAAAAAAGAAAGAAAGAAAGAAACAAAGAAAGAAAGAAAGAAAGAAACAAAGAAAGAAAGAAACAAAGAAAGAAAGAAAGAAAGAAACAAAGAAAGAAAGAAAGAAACAAACAAAGAAACAAACAAACAAAGAAACAAGCAAAGAAAGAAAGAAAGAAAGAAACGAGAAAGAAACAAGAAAGAAACAAGAAAGAAACAAGAAAGAAACAAGAAAGAAACAAGAAAGAAACAAGAAAGAAACAAACAAACAAACAAAGCCCTGAAGTTGTGATTTATTTCATGTTACTGTGCATGTGACGAATTGTGTTTTCTGCACATTATTTGTTGCCTATGAAGCCTCGGTAAAATGGGACCGCCACAGCTAGTTTAGAATAGTTTCAGCAAGCACATTTTCAATTAGAATTTTATCTTTTAGATTAGTATCTTAAACTAATCTTACAATCAACTTTTAACCTACATGTTTTTGAAAAACAACAACAGAGTATATTAAATTGAATACTTCTGTTTTAATTGACGTGTATTGTTCTTTATCGTTAGAGATTCGTTTTCACACTACGGTATTTTTAGTTTGCATACCAATCTCTTTGGAAGTTACGGCGCTATGAAGTGGGTGCGTCACCTGCATATTTCCATTGCGATTAGATGATTCAAACACTGTACGCAGATTTCAGGCTTAAAATAAAAATAATAAGCATATCATATGAGTAGATAGATAACTCATTCTTGATTGCGTTTTCTAGATATCCGGGAGAGAAAAAAGAAATATATTATTTACATGAGAATTGTGAAAGTTCCAAAAACGATAGAAATAATAAGAAACGGAAGCAGAAGAACTTTCTGAGAGAAACAGATATTTATCAATGTAAAATTTGAATTTTGATTTTTGAACAAAACTTCGGCAATTAAATTACTAAATTTACTTCACTTTTTAATCCTTCAAATTTTTTAGACAATGGCCATGTAATACTCCTGAAATGCCCAGACTTCATCCCAACATATATGGCTGGAAAATGTTGAGACCTTTGCAGCCGCGGGACAAAACCCCCCAACTTTTACTGCAATCGAAAAATAGAGCGAACTCAACCGAGAGCCCAGGTTAGCCGAGCTTACAGGACCGACGCAGGTAAAAGGGAAGAGGAAAACAACTTGACCTCCACACGTACTACATGATTTACTGCAAATGTGTTTTCACGGCCACCCTTTTTTTTTTCGTTTTTGCAATTTGCTGGAACAGTTGTATATTTTCCGAGCGGCCCTACCGGTCTTCCGGTTCAGCGATCGGAATCCAATAGTCGGAGGGCGCAAGAGAATCCACAACAGTGTGGAACGTGGTCAGACGAAAAGAAAATCCGACGACGGCCTTCGCACCGCCAGGGCTGCAGTCAATTCTCTTATCGATCAATCGACATCGAGCATTGATCCTCGCAACACTGTGCCCCTTGAAAAGCAGTGGAAGAATATCGTTGGATGTTTCTGTCTAAATGATTCGATAAATTCTAATGTTTAACATTATTTTTCTCTTCTAATGGTGTCGTTGGGGCCGGGATAATTCATTGCAATAAACTGACTTTTTAAGGAACACTGTATAGCGTGTATTTTTTTTAGGGAATTGGAGATTTCTTCATCACGTGCAAGGCGACGGTAAGACATTTGCTAATTCGCAGTTGAGTCGTTTCGTTTCTGCTCTGACATGAAAACAGCACTGTACTGGGGCGGGAACGACCGGACCTCATAATAGCGAGAGATCGTGAAGTAATAGCATTAATCGCGCAACTTTTCTGGAACGATGACCTTGCTCCCCCCCCCCGCGCGGTTACAATAAACAGTTGAAGGCTAAAGCTCCAAGAGAACACTGATGACAACATTCCAAACACTTGTTCACTGGCACGAAATAAAAACTGTTTTCTGGTGAAGAGAACTTCTATCCGTGATTTTCTCAAAAAATCTAAAGAAATGACTGAAACAGGTGAAGCCAACACAGGAAATACCTCGAACTCCTGAGAAAGTTAGAACGCAAATTATTGAGAAAGATGCGAGGGCTTGATTCTCCAGCGGTTGGCATTGCTTCATAGAATCTAGTAACGGATTTCGTAACCAATACCCCCACACTACGCGCATTTCTTCAAACCAACGTTCAAGAAAAGTTGCGCGATTAATAATTGAATGAAAGTAATAGTAAGAGAAGATGCACTGGTTGAAACTCGAGCAAAATTACGGCGAAAACCAACAAAAATATGAATATCTACGAACGCACTTGCTCATCGCAGATTTCGCTCGACCATGATCCTCCCTACAGTGGTCAGATCATATGGAGGGAGGTAGAGACTTAGAAATACAAAGCTGAAAACATTTGTCTCTGGTCACACACGTTTAATTGTTTATTTTATTTATTTTATTTATTTTATTTATTTTATTTATTTTATTTATTTTATTTATTTTATTTATTATTTTATTTATTTATTAGAAACTAGTGCATTCGGTGGTATGATTCATGTTAATTGCAGCAATGCCGTGCCATTTCGCGTCATAAGCGGCGCGTTCTCATTGCTGAGGTCACTCAACATTTGTCGCTACAAAGCACTGAATATTTATCGAGCAGTTGAGGATGCTCGTTACATTTCCGAGTACTAGGACATGTACCACATATTTAGGGGATGCCGGAGGAACGCCAGTGTTCCAGTTTGGTGTAAGCCGAGATAGGCGCCAATCGGCTGTACTCCATAATTCACTTAACATTTCTTCGCCTCGACTGCGCTTGTAGTAGAAAATAGTACTATCGCGCCTAAGTGTTGACACGGTAATCGTATTACCCTGATCGTCAAGTATTTTCTGTATTTTTTGAAAACCGTTTTGCATGGTTTTGTTCGGCAGCATTTTTGCTGCTGCATTTTTACCAGTTCGTTACAATACAAGAATTTAGGGGAAAAATAATAACTTTTATAAAACTTCTATTATCCTTCTGTGGTTTAAAACACACATTTACATGCGAAAAATGCAATCAATATCTTTAGCACACAATTTTTAATACAGATATTTGATAACCGTTTGTTTCTTTACCCGTGTACACTAATTCAATGATTGAAACAGCAGTCTCGTGGTGTTATGCGTTTTCAAATGTGGGTGACGCAGCAAGAAATTTATTTTGTTATGATACTCAATGAACCATTTGCAGCGGTTAAATGAATGGCTCATTATTGAGATACATTACGACAGGTAAAGAACCAGTCTTGTGTAATATTCCAGTGTGTGAACAGTGAAAAGGTAATTCGTCTTCGTGAAGATTTGAAACAGATATTACCTTATATTAAGAGAGGGAGAGGGATTCAGGAAGATATGTGCACTCACATATATTTGACTTCTCACTCACGATTAAAATGATAATTGTGACGCATTATTATTATTATTATTATTATTATTATTATTATTATTATTATTATTATTATTATTATTATTATCATTATCTTTATCATTATCTAGGTCGCGAAATTAGGAGATCTATTTAACTTTAAAATTACACAGCAGTATTTAATTTATGTTTACTGTTGTTCCAATTTTCAGCGAAAAAGAGTTTCAAATTTCGAATTTACTGTAGTCTTGAAACATTTTCTTAAAAATGGCTCACAATTTTCCAAAGGAAATTGTCGTGAAGGTCGAGATTTTACTGTTCTTTAATTCTTGAAATAACATTTCTGTTTTACAATTACGAAACATGAAAATTAAGAAAATGTCGAAAAAATGTACTTTGGGCGGTGGTAGATGGCAGCTGACAAGAGTATGTGGCAAATCCGAAAAGCTAGCCGAGACCAAGGGAAATAGAAAACTAATACGAGACAGTCTGTGCCATTCTGTAACACCACTAGATTCTATAGAAAAGTAAAATCTCTATGGTTACTATTATACATTTATTTTAACGAATTTTAACATTAGAAACAATGGAAAATTTAATCTTTATTTTTCTTCGAAAAATCCAACGTTTCCCTGTGTTTCCTCGATGAATATTGATCTTAAATATTATAATTTCCTCCAGTGCTGCTTTGTGATTAATTTCAACCAGTGATCCGTATGCTGCAAGAAGGTTATAATATAGTATATCCTCCTTGGTATGCTGTTAGAGTAGATAATATAAACTGTCATCCATGTCACTGATTTCAAAGTTCGCGGAAGATATGTAGATTCCGAGCCATGAATGCGAAGACTGGCAACCCTGTCACCAGATATTTTGCAAAGGACTCTTTATTCTGTGATAAGTTGGCAAATATTGCGGATTCTCGTTTGGGGCTGTTGCAGACGTTACGCTTTCAAATTCTGGAATGAGATGTTGAAATTTTCCAACCTATTTGCGTGCGTATATACTATACCTTGTTGTGTGGGACGATAAAAATAGTTTAGTGTGTTTCCTTGGTCCTCACGCCACGGAAATTTTATTTCCGTGGTGTTCCGTGGACTACCATAACGATTTCACAATGGCTGAAGGAGGAGCACCATTGCGAACAAATTCTGACGGAGAGGCATGTCCCCGAGGAACGGCCTCAGAAGGTAAATAAATATTATGTTTCTAATGTTTCGCGATATCGTGCAATAGCATTTTTCGAATTTCGTCGCATTCGTCAAGAGTCTAAAGTATTGATATTTGTGTCATTGTAGGAGCATCCATTCCAGAATGTGCTGTATGTTTACAAACATGCGTCCATCCAGCACAGCTGCCATGCGGTCATATATTTTGTTACCTTTGTGTGAAGGGTGTAGCTAATCAAAGCAAGCGCTGCGCAATGTGCCGCCAAGAAATACCATCAGACTTCCTTGAGAAACCCCAATTATTGGAACAAAATATTTCAGAAAAAGAAAGCCAAGGTTTTGAAGACGGCTATCAGTGGTTTTATGAAGGTAGAAATGGTAAGTAAGTTTACAGTAAAATTATAATTAAACTTTGGTATTATAATATTACTTTAATTTTCCTATATGTTGGTAGCATTAGTTTGGTAACTTGGCTCGCAAAGAACTGTCAAATTCAAAATAAAACTGCTTTATTAAATATGGTTATTACTGGGTATCTCATGTCTGCAGATTTGTATGGCAAAACTGTGTTGTGACATTCAGATATTATTTGGCTGGCTGCTATGCTTAATCTCATGGCTATTGTTCTGTTATGTGATTGACACTTGAAAGATGCCATGATAATTATCATTCCTTAAGTCACCAACCCTGGTGCTCATACGGGCCTGTAGTTAGTACTGCAATTGTAACAAGTATCAATCTCATTCTATTTTGGTAATTGAACAATTTCACCTAAATTTAATTTTATCTTAAAAATTCCATGTAAATTGATTGTAGCCAAACATTTGACTACTGGAAGTACAAACAGCATAAATGATGTTAATTATGGATGAATACAGAGACAGATATTGCTCAAAATTACAATACCTGTTAACATGGGGCTTAATTTTGGCACTCCTTCTTCAGGTTGGTGGAAGTTCGAGGAGCGAACAAGCTCAGATATTGAGGACATCTACCAACTCGGTGCATCAACATGTGAAATATTAATATGTGGGGAACTCTATAATATAGACTTTAAAGAGAGTGTGCAGTATCGAAAAAGTGACTATAAAAAGAAGCGCAGAATCAAACGGGACTTGAAGACAGCACAATGCAAAGGGGTTGCTGGGCTGAGAAAAGATCATGAAGCGTTCAAAAAATCATATAAAAAGAGTGACTGTGATAATGGGAGAGATAAAAAATTGTAATTTACATTGTGTTTCAGTAAAAGCAGAGGGCTTTTAGTTTTGAATTCTTATTTGAAAAATTAAGCTACTTTTGTATAAAAGTTTTCAAATTACACTTTATTTGTACATGTTTTTTTGTATGCATGTATAATGTTTTGAAGTAGTTTGATTTTTTGTTGTACAATTTATTTTACTGTACTTTATTAATTTCAACTATAGTAAATTCCATTTACGTATCTCATATTTGTAAAATTGAATTTATTAGCTGTATACAACGCAATGAGTATTCTAAACACTGTATTTTGTTGCACTGATTACAGTATATAAAAGTTGGTTGTTAACAAAATGGTCTTTGATTTTCCTTTTACATATCTGAAGAAAGTTTTGTTAGCCTACTAGGCCTTCAGTGTGGCAACTTTATTTGCAGGTTGGTGGCAATATGATGAACGTACAAGTCGTGAACTTGAAGCAGCTTATAAACGTGGCGAACGTATGTGCGAACTTTTAATTGCTGGTTTCTTGTACGTGGCTGATTTTGATGCAATGTTACAACTTCGGCGAAATGATCCTACAAGGCGAAGGCGAATAAAGAGAGACTTGGCAACTATTCCTAAGAAAGGGGTAGCGGGTCTTAGGTTGGATGGTTCACAATCGTACGATGACTCGGGAGAGGAGAGCCATCGACCTAAAAGTCCAACGCAGGTAATGTTTTGCCTTACAATAGTGTGTGTCTTTGTTATTTGTATATTGAGTGGAGACTTAGCTTTTTATTATTACAAAATAAATTGATTTAAGGCATATAAAATAACGAATGAACCAGGATTGCTTGTCTACCTACATACCTTTCATGAATTCTAATTTCATTCTAGTCTTGGTGTGTTGTTCAGAATTTTCCATGTGAATGTTAATGTTTATATTGCTATGTAGCAGTTTCACAAGAGAGGCTATATTTGTGTGGGAAAGTCAAAACAAAGATAGCTTATTGCAAACATTATGCATTATTAACATTGTTTACTGGAAATCTTAGAATATCTTTCTCAGGATTTTCGTTTAATAGTCTCATGAACTGGATATACCCTAGAAGCTTGATTTGAGGAATATTATTGTATGAATTGTCAAGTGTTCTTTATCTTTTATAAATGTGTTTACTTAAATTTCATGAAGTAAAAAAATATATGTTAATTTAAAATCTCATTTTAGTGCTCAAGAAATGAAAGACTTCTTCTGTTATGGGGTTGTTTTGCCCTATAGAAAATAGTAGTAGTCAATTGTTTTCCACTCATGTTAGTGTAGCAAAGGCTAGATTGGACTGTTATCTTAGAATTTCATGTTTTTCATTTTCACCTGTCATACAAAATTCAAGGGTGGGAGATACTTCACTATTAACCTAAAGTTGTTTGCAGCTTTAAAAAAGGTATTAAAACCTTTAAAAATTTTGTAGATATGATTCTGTGTGTTAAATGCTGTATGTTAGCCACGTTACAAGGTGCTTTGATAAGACTGTTTTGGAATGTTTCTCATGTATTTTATTATTTGTTTCAGTAGCTTTTTGTACAATTGACATGTTGCATGAAAGATTAGCATTGTACTTTGGGGTTACAGATTCATTTTTTAAGGGGGAAAGGAAAAGGTCTAGTTCGATGTCTGTACCACACTTAAGCCTGGCAACTTAACTTTTCTCTCTTTGCCTTCATCTTGGAAGGGTTTTCATGTATAGCGTGTTTTTTACTTGCATTATTTAATGATCGTATAAATTAATATGGTCAAAATAATTGCAAAAGGGAGGAAAATGAGAATGAATCCAGAACTCCAAAATTTAATATCTTATTAGTGTTGAATGCCTGTTCTTGAAACCATTTCATTCACATTGAAAGCTATTAAACAGCTTAGTTTATCTAGCTTAATGCAATTATAACCTCAGGAAGCTTGTTGCGCCTTAGAAAAATACAAGATCTTGATGTAGTACATAGACTTTGAAAATTGTTATAGAGCTCAGGGAATTCTTCTGAAAACCATTAAAATTCATTAATATTATTACATTCAATTGTTTAATACATGTATGCTTTCATATGTAAAACTCATTAAAGGAAATAAAGTATCTTAGTCAATGATTTAAAACTTTGTATGGAAAAAATTGTACTAGTTTATTCTTGAATTTTGTTGTTTTTACCTCCCATTTGTTTTTGGAAATGTATGATTAATATGGAAGATGGTGTGTATGTGTGTATACATACGGATCGGTGACAACATTCAACTGCACATACGATTGAGGTATAAACCAAGACAGAAGAAATGTAGGTCACTCTCGAGGGGTGAACTATACAATATCTGAATGCAATGCAAACAATTCACTCTGATGAATACATTATGAATGGTTCTTGTGACTCTTCCTTTCTAAAATATTGACGTTTCTGATGTATTGTTTTGAAAAGTGGATTCTGAGAGGCAGGGTCTTTCCCTGCCTCCAGTATTCTTCATGCTATGTGTATTCTTGCTCACCTTGAGGTACTGTATTTTCCAAGAAAATGTGTTCTTTTGGAGAAATGTTTGACTCTAAAACAAGGAAGAATCATACTGTTATTTATATTTTTTTCCTGTACTTCTAATTCAAGGGAACAACAAATGGTGCTACCACTCCTGTTCCTCCTACGAATACTCCACAGACACCAGCTGGTGGAATGGCCAGTGGTGACACTACTCCAGATCGTCATGAGTCTTTACATCAAGCAATTGAGCAGATTCGTTCCTTGAGTTTGCATGGCTATGGTGCTACTTCTGAAAGCAGCGAGGATGATAGAGGAAGTGGTGATGAAAATCAAGATCTTCCAGATTTTTCAAGCGTTATGACTGCTCCTTGGGTTCTTACGTTGTCTTCAGACGAAGACCAGTTGTGATGAAATTATGAGGAAGGTGCAGTTTCCCACTGCAGAAATCTTTATTCAGTGTTGACTGAGTGTTCCAGCAGGTTGTTTTTGTGGGTAGTGTACAATAACTTTTTTGTATGTGGACACAAGGAGTGCTGTGAATTGTAGTTTATCAGCTTCTGCTGTTATTTGTGACTTGTTTACCTTGTTGAATGTTTCAGTGTTTAAAATATATTAAAAATTTAAGACTTGTACAGTATGTCTACCTTGATTATTATGAAATCTATTAAATTGTGTACTTCAAGAGTAGTTGTAAATAATCATTCTCCCTAAGAATTTCCTTTGAAATAGTTCTACTACATTTGAGAAAGAATTTGTATTTATTACAGAATGTAATAGTTGCAAATATTTTAATCTTAATCTTGTGTCTATTAAGAATTACCAATATAGTTTGTTAGTAACTTGGAGGCAGAAGTTAATTGTGCAACTTTCAAGATCGAAATATGTAATTTTTTTTAATGTTATAAATATTATTCTATACTGAGTAATTTTAAAACATTTAAAACAACCATGTCAAACAGCACAAAAAGTACTTATATCTATTCCAATTTCCTTCGAAAATTTGTTACTTTCCTTCAAGAAATAAAATCTCTTTAATGTTTAATATTTTACAAATTAAATTATATACTTAACATAAATGTAAATATACTAAATAAATTCCATTGTGTGGACCATTGGTCAGAAATATAAGAAAAAGAGAGTATTTTGAAGGAAGATTGTTTTTAAAAAATCATTAGTTCTTGTAATAGACCACTTTTTCAGTGCTGATGCACGAACTATAAGCGAAGTTTGTGCCATTTATCTCGCAACTCAGTATTCACAAGGCCTTAATACACCTTATTGAACTATAACAGTAGTTTAGTTTTTGGTATCAATATTTCTTTAATCATTATTTTTGAGAAACCTAAAGCTCAGAAATGTTAGTTACCATTACCACCAATTTATTTGATATGAATTATATCATTTTAAAATAGTAGTGCATATTTCTTTTCCTCTGATGCCTCTCGGCTTTTGGTTCTGCATATTTCAATTCTGTCTATTGTCAATAATTTTTGATGGAAAATTATTAGAGTATTTTTTGAGGATTATGAAAGGTTGACTAAGTTTCATGAAGTCTGAAAATTATTTGTTACCGATAAAGCATGTCAGATTCAGCTAGTGGTAAAATGTTAATGTAACTTAAAGAAAATAAAAATATAAGAAGACAATGTTTCGCTGGCCTTCATTACAAGGGCCGCAGGAAAAGCACTCCATTCTGTTTCACAATGTTGACTCTTCTAGTGTGAATCACCATGACATTCCAGAGAACAGTATCACTTACATTGGCAATATTTTTCTTGATGTAAAGATCAAGAGCGGTCAGGTTATTTGTATACACAAAATCAACTCCTTTATATAATGATACAAGTAATCATTAATAAATTTAACAAGGAGTTCACACAGAAATTTGCTGCCTTTTGATTACAGTGAAATGCATGTACTATGTTACTAAGTTCATTTTGGTGTATGTGATTAGCAAATACTGAAAATATGCAGGATATTGAAAAACTACCAAATAAATACATCTCCCCTCAAAAAAGAGGGGAGAATACAATGTTTGCCATTTTAAAATCCCTACAGTATTTTTATTTATCTTAATAGTGAAAATACTATTGAGGTATACGAACATTTCATTAGAGATCCACCACAATTTACAAAAATAGAATTGTTTAATTTTTCTCTCGAGAAAAACTCATATTTATATATTGGGTAATTTATATAATGTCACATAAACTAAGAAATGGTTGAAAAAGGAATAATTTAAAATATAATTTTTCATCACAAAATACTACATTGTGAGAGTTGTCTTATACAATGTTAACAGACACTAAATTCAGTGTCATTCATACCTGCAAAGAAAAATATTCTATGCCTGTAAATTTATAATAGCGATTGCAGTACTCACGTGTGTTGCACAGGGAACTGAAGTATGCCTTAAATTGTGTCTTAGGTTAATTCTTAATATTTGTTACTCTTTTAAATTATTACATTACATTTTTAATGTGCTCCGAAATGTTCTCTTCTAATTGCTCTAGACCAATTGCCTGTCTTTGAATAATAATCTGTTTTATCTATTTCTAAATGTCAATCTTCAAGTGTCTTTCCAATTTTTTTGTTTCTTAGTACAAGAGGATGCATTTTTGACATCATTACCTGAAGTATGCTTATTTATTCTTCAATTAAAATTTCTCTACACCTGGTGAGTTAGGAGAAGAGTTATCCAGTCAGGAGCTTCAATTTTGTAATCTGAAGTATCCAATTAGTTAAAGTGCCCTGTCTCCCAACTTACCAAATGTAGAGAAATTTTACTCAAGGAATTGATTGTGCTGGGGAGTAAAAGAGTTTTAATGTCTCAAATTCTGCTTCAGTTCTTGGTTAATCATATATTATACTTTTTGGTTCCAACTGTGGTGTTGAACACTAATACTTTAAGGTCCAATATTTTTCTTCAAACTTTTGGTAGGGATAGTGCTAAATATACTCTATAAGATAACATAAATATTGCTCTATTCGTATGGTTTTTCAAAAGTTACTAAAATGTAATTTGTTTGACTTGTCTCTCATGTTAATATTTATATTAGCGGCAATTTGATCACAATATTGTATTTATGAGTACATATGGTTTATATAATGTCATAAAGCTTCTCAAAACAACCGTTATCTGTGAAAACTAGCTCGAAATTCCACATTTTCAGAAACGCCCAAACGCCATTTTCTCAAACACGGCTCCAAATTTTTTCTTCAAGCTTTTCGAGGGAATAGAGATAATTGCACTCTTTAATACGAGGGGTAGTTCATTTTGGGGCATGTTTCTTCAATAATTACAGAAATGTAATTTTGTTCAAAGATATTTCGTGTCGTAATATGCATATTTTCAACAATTTGTAAACACTATTGTATTTGTGAATTATGCTTCAAGTGAAGTTTTTTGAAAACTCAAAAATTTTCTGGAAAAAGTGCTTCAAATTTCGAATTTACTGCTGAGCTTAAGCGTCAAAGAAAATTTCCATTCAGGACGAGGTTTAACTGTTTTTTGTTTATATATATATATATATATATATATATATATATATATATATATATATATATATATATATAAAAATAATATTTTGGTTCTACTATTAGGAAACGGAAAAATTAAGAAAATTTCAAAAAATGTACTTTGGGCGGCGATAGAAGGCAGCAGGCAAGAATATGTGGCAAGTGAATAGCTAGCCTAGGTCAAAGGAAATAGAAAACTAATACGCGAAAGTTTGTGCCATTCTGTTACACCACTAGTTAGTATTGCTATCAGAATAGCAACTAACATCCCCGGCTTCACTCCTAACACAACCTTCTATGTAGCAAAAGGATAGCTCAACAAAACGCTGTTCATTGTGAAGCTGCATTAGTCCAGAAGGAAATCAATGGGTCATCTCATATTCTAGATATTTTGGTTCATCTCAGCACGGATCAAGAACTCTGCACGAAAAAACTTAATCAAAATGGGGATAATTGACTTCGCCCATCTCCCTGTCTTTATTTTCACCAGAATTGATATTCCCTATCAGTCTGATTGATGTCCCAGTCCCTTGACTATGAAACGGATATTTAGGTTTTTCAGGTACTTTACATGAACCTTCAGCATTTCCTACTCTAAAAACTGACTGAATTTTTTGTTATATTTTTCTTGGATAGAACAAAAAACTCATGTAGAAATGGCGAATATCTTATATTCATTGAATTCTCCGAATTTTCAAAAATTGCTAAAGTTTACATTTTTTGGAACATACCCACATCTACAGTGTTGAAAATAGATATTTTTCTTTCTAGTAAAATGAGGACATATATATTTTATTTTTTAGTTATATATAGTTTTGCGTGAAGTGGTCACCTTTAAAAACAAAATTTTCTTAAAAAGTCAATTTAAAAAAAAAACAACTTTTGTAAGGAGAGGGCTTAATGCACTGAATAACGTGTTATGAAGGCCATTCGAATGTGTTTTTTCTTTTGTTTTACAAATTATAAGTATATCCTTATTACATTTGTGAGTACAAATGCTTCAAATTATTTCTGAAGTTCTCGGTGGAAAGTATTTCAAAATTGCGTATTTTCAGAAACGCCCAAATTACATTTTATAAAAACTAATCAAAATTTTCAATGAAAAATTTCATGCAGTACAATGTTTTACTCTCCGTTATTCTTATTGTCGTCGTTCAAATATATTGGGGGACCGAAAAATCGAAGAAATATAAAAAAATTATATTTTAGGTAGCAGCAGCGAAGAGAGTGGCTCAATACCTAAAAGCTAGCCTAGACTAAACTAGTGCCAGCAAAACTTCATTCCTTTCTGCAGCTCTTAGTTCGTATAAGTAGTAAATTGCTTCTTCTAACACGTAGTCACAATCCACATTTTGTGGATCCTTGATACCGGAAAATGTGTTTACGGCAAACCCTCCGTCCGTCGTTCTGTTATTCCTTTGTCAACGCTAGCGGCTAAACCACGAGCGGGATTTTCACCAAAATTGATATTCTACGATCGATGTGGGTGGAGTCGTTGCCCGTGCATTTGAAACGAATATTTTAATTTTTTTGGGGGGTGGAGGGGTATTTTACATGAATCCTGAAGGTCATTTTTAATATTTCTCCAAATATTTGGATTATCTATTTTTATCGATTAGAACTACGTTCTACGCGTATAAAAATGCAGGAAGTACGAAGATTTCACTCGAGGAAAAAATATCCATCTGCAATATCGTAGTTGTAAGAAGACGTTGAAAAAATTTCGATCTTTTGAAATTTTCGAAATTTCAAAAAATTTTAGGAAAGGGTGATACGCTATGGCGGCTGCTCCTTAAAGGCTCTAGAGCGGCGACCTCCTCTGAAAAACCTCGGGGAAAGTTAGGTGAAAGCATTAAACTTGCAATAAATCGACTAATTGTGCATACCAACAGCTCAAAGATGGCGCGTGCCAGGCAATGGAAGCTTGAGGAAGAGTGGGAGTTAGGGCTCATTCTCACGTCGTCACAGAAGTGCGCTTTCGAACGCCACGGCTCAAAGCAGAGCATTGGTTTAAATGGAGGTCCTCCACGTGTTGCGGGTTCGCGCTGCTGCGGCATTCGGAGGTGGAGCCTCGTCAAGAGCAGCGCAAGAGGGCGTACGTGTCATCGCTAGCAGAACATAGCTTTAAATGGTGGTCTTTTCACTGCGCCGCCTGTCGCGGCGTTATACTTGCTGCGGTCCTTTTGTTCGTCGTCGCCGAAGGGTCGGCGAAACCTACCTCTACAGAACCCACCTCTTCTACGGCGGTGAGAAGTGTCCTGCTGTTTATCGGAAGCGAGCGGCAGTAGCGTCGTCGGAAGGGGCCGTTAGAGTTTTGTTCGGCAGAATCCGCGCCTATTAACTTACCTTAGAATACGGACTCGTTCATCTGATTTCGTAAAATACTGTTTTGTTTGCTGGAAATATGATTTACAATTTTTTTTATTTGCGGGTGAGTGCGAGTACAATTAAATCTTCCGTTATCA